CACTTAACCCAATTCTTAGCACATAGCAAGGGCTCAAAAATGTTCATTTCCTCTACAGTCCTTTAATTTTTTTTTGTATTCACTTAAAATCTTAAGGCTATTTTAATACTATATAATAAAGCCAATGCTCCATTATGTTCACCAGCAGGAAATATAAAAGCCTCAAATATTTGTTCATTGATTTGTTTAATAAAGGTAAAAAATAAGCCATTTACAGTAATTCTCACAAAATGGTGGCCAGTGCTTTTCTTCATATATACATTTATATACATATTTTTTTCTCACTCTGTCACCCAGGTGGAGTGCAGTGGTATGATATCAGTTCATTGCAATTTCCGTCTCCCAGGTTCAAGCAATTCTTGTGCCTCAATCTCCCAAGTAGCTGGGATTACAGGCACGCACTACCACACCTGGCTAATTTTTGTATTTTTAGTAGAGATGGCAATTCACCATGTTGGCCAGGCTGGTCTCGAACTCCTGACCTCAAATGATCTGCCCGCTGTGGCCTCCCAAAGTGCTGGGATTATAGGTGTGAGCCACCACACCTGGCTTAGAGAAAGCCATTTTTCAGAGGCAGGGTCTCACTATGTCCAGGCTGGAGTGCAGTGGCTACACACAGTCAGGATCATGGCACATCACAGCCTTAAACTCCTGTCCTCAAGTGATTCTCCCACCTCAGCCTTTCAAGTCACTGGGACTACAGTCATGTGTCACCACACCTGGCTATGCTAAGCATATGACATATTTGAGTACTGTTGTTTTTTTTTTACCATAGTTTAAAAAATAGTTAAAAATATATATATATATTTTAAAATTCAAATCAAATTTTTGGTGGGGAGCCAAAGCACCTCCATTTCCTGTGGAATACAACTAGAGACCACTGCTCTGCTTCCTCTGTGGCTCTCCCAGGGAGGTCACAGCCATCACCTACAAGTCAGGTCTTCTGACCTAGCCAACTGTTAAAACAATTGGAGGAATAGTAAGGGCATTTCGACTCATTGAAATTGTTAACTCTGCCTTAGCTAGGAAGAATAAACAGCCTCCCATACCTGAAGTACTCTTGTGGCCTTTTCTGCTTAGTTCCCAAGCTCTGAGAGTTTTCATAATTTTATAGTAAATGTTTTGTTTCTTCTGAGCCCTCAGAAATGAGTCCTTCTGCCTAACAAAATTCTCTACATAGCCAGAGATCTGCTCTCATAGCATCACTCTTCATTTTAACCATTTTCGATGGTTGTCTTAAACAGAGCATAGTCGGCATATTTTAGCCTTTACAATGGTATTACTGCAGTTGCCTGCTTTTATTGTAGAAGCATTAGAAAACATGCTAATGAAAAGAAGCCCACTGCGAAGGCACGCAGCATCTTGGGTCATGCACTGTGCTTTGAAGCAGGGATGCAGCCCCTTATTTAGTGGCATGGAGCCATGAACCTGAGCCTCTGTGACTGGAGCTCTGTCTGCTTTGGATTCAGATGCTGGCTCCTCTGTTGTTGTCAAAGGGTGTCATTTATGCTTGCCGTCAAGATGTCTATCAGCAGAGCACCTCTTGGAGCCCTCCTTTTCTGTTTCTTTGATGATGGGGAGTTTGGAAATCAGACAACTCAGCCTAAGGGCAGAATCGGGGGTTCTGAGTGAGAGTCTAAGGAGCTCTCTGAGAAAAGAGGCCGAGTTTTAGTCACGGTCTCTGTGACATTTTTACCGCCTAGCTGAAGCCTCTTTTGCTTACTCTGCAGTTCTAGGCTCTGGTCTAGAAGAGGTAAGGTTAACAGATAAGTTTGGTGCCTAAAGTCATAGTATCACTGAAACTTCATACAGTTTGAATTTAGTTCTCTAGTTCATGCAGAGAAAAAACCTCAGTAGTTTCATCACTGACTACACTAAGCTCTATGTATAACTCACTGCATTATACTGCAGTATTAAGTCTGAAATCATCCACAATCCACCCTCGTGCCCCATGAAAAACCACAAAGGTAGTGATCATGGCATAAGCTGCTCAGGATCAACTCTGCAGCTGGAAGAGCAGGGAGTGTGGCACACCGTGTCTTCACTTGGGGTCGAGGCAAGCGCTCTTCATTGGCCAGGACTACAACCGTTTTCCTCTTTAGGATAAAATCTGAAACTGATTGCCATGACCAATTCAAAGGAATCGATGATCTCAGACATAGAGCTGACCCTGGGTTGGGGTTCTGGCCTTTCCCTGTCGCTGCTGTTAAGACAGTTCTACTCTTTAATCATTGTAGATGCAGCTCAACTTTTTTTTTTTAAGCAGCAAATCTTAATATAGACAACTTAATTCTATCATCTCCTACTATATTTTCTTTTTTTTTTGAGACAAGAGTTTTACTGTATTTATTATAGCTCAATGATCTTTTATTGATAACAACTTAGGAAATAAAGTTCTCTTTTTTTTGAGAGGGAGTCTTGTTCTGTTGCCCAGGCTGGAGTGTAGTGGTGTCATCTTGTGTCACTGTAACCACTGCCTCCTGGTTCAAGTGATTCTCATGCCTCAGCCTCCCCAGTAGCTGGGATTACAGATGTGCACCACCACGCCTGGCTAATTTTTGCATTTTTAGTAGAGACAGAGTTTTGCCATGTTGGCTAGGCTGGTCTCAAACTCCTGGACTCAAGTGATCTGCTCGCCTCGGCCTCCCAAAGTGCTGGGATTACAGGCGAAGCCACCACACCCAGAACAGGAAATAAAATTCTTTAACAGAAAATTAGTTTTGTTTAAAATAATAATGGTCATAGTTATCTTTTATTGAGTACTTACTGTGTGACACACATCAAATATCTCATTCAATTCTCACAAGAACCCGAGGCTGGCCCTATTTTCCATTCATACATTCAATAAATACTCGGTGGGTACCTACTCTGTGCTAGGCAGTGGTCTAGCCGCTGGGATCTTTTTTTTTTTTTTTTTTTTTGCTATCTATGGAAACTTGAAGCAGGTATCTTTCTTTAAAACAGTCCTTACATTCTAGTAGTCCTTATATTCACAAAGCCCTTACATTCTAGTGTGAGGAGATGGAGGAATAAGCAAAATAAATACATAATAATATACTCTATTCAATAGTGACGAAAACTACAAAGGAAAATGAAATAGACTAGGGGACAAAATGATGAGGGGTGTTGGGGGAAGGACTGGAGCTATTTTAGGCAGGATGGCTAAGAAAAACCTCTCCAAGGAAGTGAAATTTGAGCAAAAACCTGAAAGAAGTGAGCCCATGTGAATATATGTAGGAAAGAGCATTCTAGGCAGGAAGCACAGCAGGTACGAAGCCCCATGTGGGGAGTGTCTGGTAAGTTTGAGGAGCAGCTAGGAGGTCACTGTGAACAGAGGGTGACAGCAGGGAGGTCAGGGGACTGCAGAGGGCAGGTCAAGATGGCCATGTCGGCTCCACAGTGTTTTTGGATCTTTCTTTCAGTTAGATGGGAGTCACTGGAGGTTTTAAGAGGAGGAGATCGGTATTATCCCCACGTTTACAACTGGGTCTGCGCAGCTGTAGAGATGGTGAATAGCCTTCCTATAATGAGCAAGTGGTAGAGCTGGGATGGAAATGGCCCGATTCTATAGCAAGTTCTCTTAGCTACCAGGAAATGTCCTCTTAGGAAATTTCTATGTCAATATGGGGATGAGAGTACTTTAAAAATAGTCTCAATGAGAAAAGCCTTTATGCTTTTATTTTTCACAGTTAGTTACTGAGAACTTTAGTCAGGAAATATTAGTCTAGTCCTTTTACTTTTAACAGGAAGACACTGAAAGATAAAGTAACTTCAGAGTCACAAAACTGTTTTATTGAATGGCCTTTCTGCTATTATTATATAAAACTGAACTAAAACTTAAAATAGGCAAGGAGGAAAAAATTTTATGGCATAGCCAGAATCTATTTAGTTTTTCCCTTCAATATTTATTATAAAAAATTTCAAACATACCGCAAAGTTGAAAGAATTTTACAGTAAACACCTATATACCCCACTGATTATCTCTGTAATTTTTAATCCATATACTCCTCTCTACAGCTATTAAAACACTACAGAAGACAAGTGGGGAAAACACACTCTCATTAAAAAAGAATCTTCTCTTCAAGTGGCCTTGGAAAACATACTTCCTGAATTACCTTTTTATCTACCTACAACTCAGGATAATGACCTATTTTTCTCAAGTACCCAAAAAATACTTTTTGAGTTGATTTTCAGTACAATTAAAGAAAAAACAAATGTGCTCTGGGGAGTAATATGTTCTTCACTACCTACTGCCTGAGGAAATTTTCTGAGTCATATAAAAATAAATGGCTGGGCGCAGTGGCTCACACCTGTAATCCCAGCACTCTGGGAGGCTGAGGCAGAAGGACTGCTTGAGTCCAGGCATTTGAGACCAACCTGGGCAACACAGGGAGACCCTCATCTCTGCAAAAGATAAAAACTTAGCTGGGTGTGGTAGTGCACACCTGTAGTTCCAGCTACTTGGGAGGCTGAGGTGGGAGGACTGATTAAACCCAGGAAGTTGAGGCTACACTGAGCCATTATCGTGCCACTGCACTCCAGCCAGGGTGACACAGCAAGACCCTGTCTCAAAAAAAAAAAAAGAAAAAAAAGAAATAAAATAAATGACCTAAACAATAATTTATACTGTATTATTCCAATATCTACATTTTATGCGGAATATAAAACTCTTCAGAAAAAGTAAAGCAAAAATGAGGCAGCCTATTACTAAGCCAGAAGTCTGAGAGCCAGTGTGCCAAAGACCTGATAATTAATTAAAACTGATGAAAGTCAAAAGCCTGTGTGTCTTACTATTTAGACATACAGGTTTTCCACTATGTTCTATATAGATTCCTCTCCTTGATGCAGCTTCCCATCTTTAATCCTACTTTATCCAGACTCAATAATCATAAAAGCACGTGTTGTTTTCTAGACTTCACATACCCACACCCAACAGATATGAGGACAGAACATAATACATGGAATCAGGGGAACAAAGTTTAATGAGGATCAAGGTATTTGACTGGCCACGTATCTCCCTGCAGATTTATTATTAGTTGTAAGGGGAAACATAGTAACTACACTGTGGAAATCCCACACACCACCTGGACTGGGTGATCACTATTAACACGTGAGGGGCAAATGCATCCCCGTCTCTAGATGCCATACCCTGAAAAGTGATACCCTGAGGAGGACACAGCTCTTGTTTTGGCCAGGGATGCAGAACCTGAATCCAAACACGAGGAACCACCACTGAGAAACATGCTCTGACATCACTGACATTCTGAAAACTACAGGCCACTGTCATGAAAGACAAAGAAAGGCTGAGGGACAATCAGACGAAAGGAGACTAAAGAGATAGAATCAATCAATGCCATACCTACTCCTGAACTTGATCCTGCTATAAAAGGACACGGGGGGACTGCTGGCAAAATTGGAATATGGTGAGATAAACGTATAGTATCAGTATTAAGTTTCCTGAGTTTGATTGCTGTGGTCACTTAAGAGAATATCCTTATTTTTAGGAAGTGCTTAAGGAAGTATTAAGAGGTCGAAAGACATGAGAAAGGTAACTGACTCAGAGAAGTGTTAACTAAAAAATATAGCGTATTCTCCTGATCAGCATTCATGGCCACTTCTACTGCCGGCCTGCCACAGTGCTGGTTAATTTAGCTACGGTGAACAGTTTGTGCTAACTGCCCTGTATCCTCTTTCCTGATTTTTACCAGATTTCCTAGAATGCTTACTCAAGACTCAATGTATAATTCTGATTTTTGTGACTAAGCTCACCAGCTTCTAATTCCAACAAAAAACCTATCTGGCACTCAATTACTTCAATTATATGCGACTTTTTCTAAAAGCATTGATTACCATCTGCAGAATTTCTGTGTACTAAGCCAATATAATGAATTCTTAGTCAGCAGTGATTGGCCTTTCTCTTTCAGGACTCCCTGGAGGCTGTGTCCATGGAAACAAGTTCTCTCAGTGTCTTCTCCAGTCCAGTTGAACTGAAAACTTGAAGGGCTTTTTTTTCCAGCAGTTGGTGTTGAATCAACTAGTGTACTAAACTGTTTCTGTAAATTCACCACCATTTCTGGAAATGGAGAAAAAAAGGAAACAGATCACAAAGCCTGGAGTTTACTTGATAGGAATGTACTGATACTGGTTCCTTAGTTTTGGCAATGTACCATGGTAATGTGATGGGATACCATCAAGGGACAATGAAACTGCATGAGGTACATGGGGGAAGCTACTTAAAAAATGGTTTTTCTATATCATGTATAATTTACTCAATTAAAAATAATGTACAATCTAAATGGAATTCTATAAGCAAACGATTCGCAAAGTCATAGCGATTTAGGATTTGAGATTTTTGTCAGGAACTGAGGCTGTGTTTTGAAGCACAGCGTGTCCCTGAAATAGATTCCTGCAGAGATTTCTTGCAGAGCATGGTGCTCCTTTGGATGTATACATGCCCTGAAACATTTGTCTTAAAAAAGTAAAAAGCTTAAGCATTCACATTTCAAGTCCAGATATTTAATTTTTCTACAACTGTGTTGATACTTGGTATTAACAAGACAAAATATGACTCACCTCTTTTTTTATATGCCACTGGTTTGTCGACATATGAGTAGTAGAGTGGCTTTTCACTTTTCCACAGGTACCTGTACAAGGTAAAGAAACAGCTGGAGCAGGATGGAGATGAAACAGACCTAAACACATTTCAGAGAGCTGTTTGTCTGAAGCACTCTGAGATTCCTGATCTTCAGGTATAGTTCTGGCTTAGAATAGCCTATTGGCACATGTCTATATCGTCTATTGAACTTGGGCCCTACAAGGAAGCACTGACTGAGAGTCCGGGCCAAGAGAATAGTGTGCTTCTCCCAAAAGCTGCCCAGATGCCGTGAGATCCGAAGAAGTTATTAATTACAGAACAAACACAGAAATAGTTTCCTTCATCATAAATTTCCCTTACTGCTCATTCTCATAAAGTGAAGCCACCTCAGAAACAACTATTCCTCCTTGCCTTTCCTCCAATGCCGTTTGGGCAAGAGTTAAGTTAGTGGTACTTCTGATTCCGATAACTTACACAGAGTGAACAGTAAATATGTCTCTCTGGCACCTGATGCCAGGAAATATTTTCTATTCCTGGTGTAAGGAGAGGAAAAGACTGAATTCCACGATGACACAGTCCCAACAGTCCCTGCCCTGACTCAGCTTATTCTTGCCAAAGGAAGGGCAGCCAGGAAGTTTCCATTGTAAAACGGGGATCCTAGATGGTTCTGGTTCTTGGGGTTCCCTCCAGGACAAACACTAAGAGCCATCTAAGGTTCCTACAGATTAGGGTGATCAGTCCTAGACTCAGGCCAAAAGGAAGTGACATATTCTATTTCTGGTTCTAGTGGCTGTTGCTAAACTTTGCCAAGCAGACATTGCTGTTCAGGAACAAAGATAACAATGTTCATTTTTAAGTCTCATTTTCATTATTTCTGTGTTCCCTAGAGCAGAGGAGTTTCACAGTTTGTAATAAAAAAATTGCCACATACAGTGGCTCACGCCTGTAATCCCAGCACTTTGGGAGGCTGAGGCAGGCAAAGTTGGGAGTTTGAGACCAGTTTAACCAACATGGAGAAACCTCGTCTCTGCTAAAAATACAAAATTAGCCAGGTGTGGTGGCACATGCCTGTAATCCCAGCTACTCGGGAGGCTGAGGCAGGAGAATCGCTTGAACCTGGGAGGTAGTGGTTGCAGTGAACCGAGATGGCACCATTGCACTCCAGCCTGGGCAACAAGGGCAAAAACTCCCATCTAAAAAAAAAAAAAAAATTCACCTTCTTTTTGATCCTATGCCATTTTCTTATTTTGAAAGATACTGTGGCAACAAGAAAGAGTACTGAATCAGAAGATCTGGCTGCACCACTTCTAGTGGCATGACCTTGAATGACAAATTATGGAGATTCTCAAAGGCAGAGACTGTCTCAGCCATCCTTATGTCCCTAGTGTTGTCAGGGAATGGTAGATAGTAGAAACTCATTTAAACATTTGAAGAATTGGGTGAATAAATGAACAAAGAAATAAATTTAGCATCTCTAAACTTATCCTCTACTTTCACAGGGTTGTTCTGAGGAATAACTAAGATAATGTATATATGGGTTCTTTAAATCCTATACAATAATTAGAATTATTATTTAGTGCTTGACAAAGTGCCTGGCTCGTAGATACTCATGAAATATCTGTGAACTTTTTCCAAAAGAATATTAAAAACAGGAAGCCAGAAATGCAAGTATTTTTAAAATCTGTAGTATTTATAATAATTACTCATTTATTTTTAATGCTAGGAAGTAATACGTATATAAAAGTACACTTTTTAAAAAATTTTATTTTATTTTATTTTTAAGACAGAGTCTCTCTGTCACCAGGCTGGAGTGCAGGGGCATGTTCTAGGCTCACTGCAACCTTCGACTCCCTGGTTCAAGTGATTCTCCTGCCTCAGCCTCCTGAATAGCTGAGATTACAGGTAGGCACCACCATGCCCAGCTAGTTTTTTGTATTTTTTTTTTTTTTTTTTTTTAGTAGAGAAGGAGTTTCACCGTGTTGGCCAGGATGGTCTTGATCTCCCGACCTAGTGATCCACCCACCTTGGCCTCCCAAAGTGCTGAGATTACAGGCGTGAGCCACCACCACGCCCAGCCAAAAGCACACATTTTAACAATATTTTAGTAATATCATTTAGCAAATCATCATTTTAACCAATTTAAGAACTGATTTTTTTTCAAGGATTTTAAAAAATACTTGAGCAAGTCAGCAAAATCATGACTATACATAAAATAGATGTTGACTTTTTATTTTAAATTTCTGCAGTGATTTTAAATGTTAAGAACAGAAAGGACATTTTTCTAATCATGAGTTAGCAGTAGAAATGTAAGTAATGTTATACAGGAGATGGTCTTCCTGAAAATTATGTGAAGCTAAACTTCAGTGAACCATACCACATATATCACAGAGGTTGTCATTTAACTCTATGGTAAATGAGTCAGTGATTCTTTAAAATATATTTTTTGTTATTAATTTTCTTTTCTTTTCTTTTCTTTTTGAGATGGATTCTCGCTCTGTTGCCCAGGCTGGAGTGCAATGGCATGATCTTGGCTCACTGGAACCTCTGCCTCCTGGGTTCAAGCAATTCTCCTGCCTTAGCCTCCTGAGTAGTGCCCACCACCACACCCAACTACTTTTTGTATTTTTAGCAGAGATGGGGTTTTGCCATGTTGGTCAGGATGGTCTTGAACTCCTGACCTCATAATCCGCCCACCTTGGCCTCCTAAAGTGCTGGGATTACAGGCGTGAGCCACAGCGTCTGGCCTATTAATTTTCCTAAATAATAAAATCTCAAAGGACAAAGAAGTTGCCTAAACTAACCAGTCGAATCCCAATCCCTGGGCACACTCACTGTTAAACATTCCTTGTGAATGTTTCTTATGTATTTATAGTAAATGCGTATATAGGTGGCAGTCATGGCATAAATCAAGAAAGCATTGCTATGTCCTTGGGGTCATATGCCCAAAGAATGGGAAAGGTGATCTAGAATTAAAACACTCTATGTGTTGAGAGACCTGAAGCCAAAGCTTCTTCCAAAATCGACTTAACCTTGCCTGCCTCTTCCCATTACATGAAGCTACAAAAAGAGACACAACACAAAGACCTCATGTTTTCCAGCTAGATGTTATCCATATGCTTCTTTCCTGTCTGCATATCATTTGTTTTCCCATTTAAAAAAATTAAGGTATAATTTACATTCAGTAAAATTTACTCTTTTTTTCTTTTTTGATGGAGTCTCACTGTCACTCTGGCTGGAGTGCCATGATCTCAGCTCACTGCAATCTCCGCCTCCTGGGTTCAAGCAATTCTCCGGCCTCAGCCTCTCAAGTAGCTGGGATTACAGGTGCCCACCACTACACCCAGCTAATTTTTTTTATCTTTAGTAGAGTCGGGGTTTCACCATGTTGACTAGGCTGCTCTCAAACTCCTAACCTCATGATTCACCCACCTTGGCCTCCCAAAGTGCTGGGATTACAGGCGTGAGCCACTACGCCAGCCTAAAATGTCCTCTTTTCAGTGTAGTTCTGCTAGCATTGACAAACACATACAGTTGTGTATTCACAAGTACAGTGCAGAACAGTTCCACTACTCCAAAATATCTCCCACACCCCCTGACAGTCAACTCTTGACCTCAGGCAACTACTGGCCTGTTTTTCTGTCCCTATAGTTTAGCCTTTTCCAGAATGTCATATAAATGGAATCATAGCATAGGTAACCTTTTGAGTCTTTCATGTAGCATAACGCATTTAAGATTCACTCAGATTGCTGGATGCATCAGAAGTCTGTATTGCTACCCACTGTATGGATATAACACAGTTTATCCAGTCACCAGCTGAAGAACATGTGGGTTGTTCCCAGTTTTTAGCAATTATGAATGAAACCATTAGAAACATTCCTATGCAGATTTTTGTGTGAGCTCATTTTCATTTCACTAGGGTAAATATCTAGGAGTGAAAAATACTAGATAACATAATAAAAGTATGTTTAACTTTGAGAAACTGCCAAATGGCTGTACCATTTTGAACCATTCTAATTGGTGTATAACGATATGTCATTGTGGTTTTAATTTGAATTTCCCTATTAATGATGTTAAACATCTTTTCACATGTCATCTTGATGTCATCTGTGGTAAAATGTCTTTTCAAATCTTTTGTCCACTTAAAAAAATGGTTTTTATTTTATTGCGTAAGAATTCTCTATATTGGATATGTGATTTGCATTTAATTTCTCCTAGTCTGTAGCTTCTTATTAAGTGTCTTTTGTGGAGCAGAAGTTCTTACTTCTGATGAAGTTCAATTTACCAAAATTTTTTCTTTTACAGATCATGCTTTTGGTGTCATATCTAAGAAATTTCTGCCTGACCAAAAGGGAAGGCAAAAATTAGCAGGTGAACGCAAATTAAAACCACAATGAGATATCACTATACACCAAATAGGGCATAGAGATTTTCTGCATAGGCTTAATTTTTCTCCATGTTCTTCTCAACATCTTCTATCACAACTAGAAGTCATCAAAACAGCCTCTTATGCTGTTTTAGGTTTTTAACTATGGTTTATTAGTGTTTTTCATAAAATGTTTTAATAATTTTCATTTGACAACATGGATGACAATATTCAGAGAAACAAAGAGAAAAATTAGAAATTTATGTCAAAATGGGGGTGGGGAAGGGTGAACCCGACAGATGACCGTCACGCCCCAGAGCTCTGTGCCTGAGCAGCAGTTGGTACTGCTTCGCACATTACTCAGTAGTGATTCACAGTGCACGTGTGTGTCAGCCCTCAGCACATGCTCTGGCAAGAAGGCCCTTGGAAAGGGATCCCCTTGACAGCCCCTACCTTGGGGCCTGGTACCTCCCTGGACAGTGCCATTTCATAACCAGACTTACATATTTTGGATGATAAATTATTCCCTAAAGTAGCTAAAAGTCGGTAAGTATTAAATGTGCAACTGACATAACACTGCAATAATGAACTGGGCCTCCCAAGAGCTGTATTTAAAGTGTAAGCTGGTGTCTGGCTTGGGGTAAGGAAAGCCCTGTCACCACTGAGATGCCTGGATGGAATGGCCCCTAAGCACCTGGTCCTCCAGATCCGTCAGGACTAACCCCAGCTAGCACCACAGAAAGGAAGGCTGACTCTCCAGGATGACCTAAGACACAGAACAAACTCTTGTTTCTGCTGCTGTTCTTGTGCCCACTGACTGAAGAGCCATTCTGTCTCTGATGAGGGAGAAGTAGGGCCCAGTTTCATGGGATCCACGGGCTGTTGGAATAAATTCACCTCCACCGCTCTTCTTCATTGTGCATCAATCCTGCCTAGTGAGAGGGAACCTGTCACTCTTCCCTGCTGTGGAATGGATCCTCATCTCCACAGTGCCTTTTCTACCCCAAGAGTCAAGAATCTATGCTTCTATTTAAAAGCTCTCTGAAATTTAGAGGAAAAATAATCTAGTTCTACTCTGATACTGGAAAATGGGATCTTAATTACAGTCTATAAGTGGTTTATTAAGTCTATTTTACTGATGAAGAAATAGGAGCTGAACTAATTCTCATTTCAACTAATTTGAGGAACCTTGATTTTTCTCAAAGGATATAAAAATACTGAGTTGAATTAGTACTACTGTAAATTTACCTTAAATACAGAGATGTTACCTTTTTCTTCAAATCCTCATAGAGACTCAGACTCAACAAAAGGTTAAGTAACTGGTCCATGGCCATACAGCTAGTGTGTAATGCAGCCAGGATTCAAACCTAGTGCTGTCTTTCCACTCTACCACAATGAGCATATATCAGAATGACAGTTCAAAGAAAGTCAGTGACACTGGCTGAATCAAATGGATTTGCTATCTGCTTTCCTTTGTTTTAATTTTCACAGGGACTGTTATTTTCAAGGAACATTTCAATTACATGTGTTGCAGAGTAACAATTGCAACCTTTTTAGTATTGAGAAGAATAGATGAGAAATGACTAAATATGAGAAAGGGGAAGAGGGAGGAGTATTAGAAATATAGGTGAGTCTCATGCAAATTATAAAAAGTTAGTTGCTAAATACACTGGTACACTGCACTGGATCATGGAACAGAAAGAGGACATTAATAAAAACACTGGTGAAATCCACATCAAATCTAAATTTGGCTAATAGTAGTATAAAAAAGAGAAAAGTTAATTCGAGTTTAGGGCTAGTATTTCCAGAAAAAAAGTCACAATACAGATCAATCTATACTGATAAAGCTTCAGCTTTCAAATGTAAAGTAGCAGACACAGAAGTAAAGCAAGTGCATCTAAACCAGGAAAGAGAACATACTTGGCCCTTGCTTCTTCCCAGTTTTGTTTTTTCTCATCAAAAGCTTTCTTCATAATTTGGTACCACTTTCTGAAATCAAACCATGGCTTATCTGAAAGAAATAAAATCCAAGATTATTAACCAAATAAATCACACTACAATAATATACATTGTTCATCTGAGTCTTCATTCATTAACATAGCTAAACATTTACATACTAGCTCTTGGAATCTATGGATGGAGTCACTGTCTCTCTAACAGGACTCTCCTGAGCAATCTGTCACTCCCTCCTCTAAGTTCCTACCTATATTGTGGCCCCAACTAAATTATACTGAAATGACCTTTTTACATGTCTGCTTCTCCTAGACTTGACTATTACCTCCTTGAGAACAGAACACATATTTTATCTGCCACTACAAAGAAGGCCTGCTCCTCCTCTCAAACCCAACACTCAGCACTGTGCCTGCACATGGTGGTGCTCCAATATGATGAATATGTATTAAGGAACAAATAAATGGTTGATAAATGTGTAAAATGGTTCTACGGTACCTGAACCCAGACTCCTATTCCCAGTCTTCCTAATCCTAATTCAAAGAATCTAGAGACAAGTAAGAAAATGGACTGCACTGGACAGTTGGTGCAAGTGTGTGTTCAAGAGGTAGAGGTTAGAGAGACAATAGAATTGAATGCAGCAAAGTATAAAAACTCACTCCTCACTCTTTTATTCACTCCACATAGGGATTATTCTCCATTATTCTCTGGTGAAGGTAGTCTCTCTCCATGTCTCACTAAAAATCTCTTCAACTGGCCAATATAATAATTGTTTAATCTAATATGACCTTGTAAACCACACAGCCACAGAGGAGAGGAAACTACCAAAAGAATTATAAGAATAGAGGAAAACTATAGTAATCAATAGAACTCACGGTTCTTTGACCTGGAGTAAATCACAACTTTTCTAAACCTCAATCTCCCTGTCAATAATGCTGGGGGTGCGGGATGGCGATTAGCAGATGGAGCAGAGAATGGGGACAGTGATCCTTGCCCTGCTGACAACACGGATTTATTTTGAGGCTTACAAGGGAGACAGGTCAAAGTGCTCTGTTTATTCTACATGTCTACACAGTAAATTATCACCTTTTAGCATTAGAGGGGGTATTAGAAGATAGCTACATAGAAGCCAACATGAGCAATGTGCAGAAAGTAGTATTTTATTCTGCACATTTTCCAGAAAAAACACACAAACTGATTGCTACCAATAAATTCAAGCCTCTAAAACCTATGAACTTAAATCCTAATGAGAACATTAAGAAACTGAAATTGAATTTAATAATTCACATATTCACCATACTTCACTGAGTTGCTCTTAGGCTAGTCACTATGTTAGGCACTAAAGATACATTAAAAGAAAAAAAAAATATGATCCCTCTCTCCAGAAGCTGACACTCCACCTGTCTATCTGCCTACCACTTATAAAGTACAGATACTCCTCTAAGCACTTTACAAATATTGGCAATCTAATAGGGACAGATATACTTAGGCCACTAGTTAGACTTCAACGTACTAAACATCTAGCAGAAGTCTGAATAGGAATGACTGTGGCAGGAGTTATTAGTGCTGATCTGGGAAGAGGTGAAGCATTTTAAAGTGGACAGGTGTGAAGAACAGACAGAAGACTGGTATTTATGCTGCACCTTGAATAATAAAGAGGGATTTACCAGGACTGAATGGGAGCTGGGGGTAAGAAGGAAAGAGCATTTCAGATAAAGGGACCAATAAGAGCAAAGGCTGAAGGCATCAGAATAGACAGGACGGTCACAAAGCTGCCTGTGAATTCATGATCTAACACGGCTGGTGAGTAGAAGGTGGGAATACAAGGCAGGCTGGTCTTCCATGTAATAGGAACTCACTGATATTTTTTAGTAGCCTAGAGATACAAGTAGGTAATTAAATGAAAAAACAATACTGGTACAATATACAATTTGTATACATGCGTATATACGTGTGTGTATTTTTCAAAGTTGTTTGCCTACATTTATTCTGTCTTTTAATCTATCATCTATGGCCACTTTGAATTTGATTGATAAAAAATTAAAATACCTTTTTTGTTCTTTTCATTATGTTTTTCAGCAAGATTAGACAAAGACCTGGAGATAACAATAAACAAATCAATTTATTTAAAGGCATGTATTTGGAAAGTTAAATTCTGAATTCTTCTGAGAGAAAAGTACAGAACAGTATTTTAATTGGTACCAAGAGTAACGGAGAAGCAATCACTGAAACAGAGGAGGAGACACTATACTGTCACTCTTTGTTGGCATCTGGAAGGGGTGACATATTAAGATTCCTTTACTTTCTAAAATAACCTTTGAGAACATATAGTGCCAGGAGCCTAACGGGATATAGATAAAATGCTAAACTACTCTTCAGGATTTATGAAGATACTTTAAAACAAGGAAATCAGTGGAGCAACAAGGAACATTGCTACCTAAAGAATAAGAGGAATAAAACATGATCAAACAACTGACAAACAGCTGAGTCAAAGTACTGTGTAAGAAATAATTGTGACTACTAGTCAATGTTCTGTAACGACTGAGAGTCTCCATTTTTTATTGAGATAACATACAGTTAGGTAAATACAGTACAAATTTTTTCTTTAGCTCTTTTTTCTAAAGTGTCTTCATGACATTCAAAGCTTTCTGAAAAAACTAAGTAACTATGTTACTTGTCATAAAATTGACATACACTTACCACTCTAAATTGTCATCCAATAGGAAGAGCAGTTTCAGTACCACCACAATGATGGCTACAGCTTGTACATCATACTTAACAGTTTTTGCCATTTTAGCTATAGGATCAAATGTCAGAAAATCCACTTCTCCCATTCCAGTCATTTTTACCACGTGGCAAGTTAAGCTATGCATTTCATCTGTTGAAGAACAAAACAGTAAAATGTAAATTAAATTCTTTGGCTAACTAGACCATTCCAGTGTATATATCCATGAAATAACCTTTATCTTAAAACATGATACTATGCTAGAACTCAGAGACGCACATTTTGTGAATAAAACACCAAAACATGACATCCATAGAGAAAAATGAATGGCAGAATCTTAAAACAGTGTATCATTCCCTCTTCTGACTTCCTAAAATATCTACTATTTATAGGACACATCCTGGCACCAGGCAGACAGACACATACCAGTTGTTTCTATAGCACTGTGTGCTCACCTAAAACTAACTCCCTTATAAGACCAAAAGCTTCTCTAGGAATGTACATGCACTGGCTGGCATCCTGGCTAGCACACTGTAAGCCCTCAACATGTGTTTAACTAGATATACTGCTTTCCTAAAGACATTATATGTTCAGCACAGACTATTCCTATTACTCAAGACTGAATAATGTGGGACTTGGAACCAGAAAACCTAGGACCTGTATTTAAGCTTTCCAATTATTAGCTTTGTGACTCTTGGATTACAGTCACTTAGCCTCAGTTTCTTCACTTGTAAAATGGGTTATAAAGACAATAAACTGAGATTATCCTCAAGTGAAAAGACTTTGAAAACTCTTTAAGTTACTAAACAAATTTCTCTACTTCCCAATCCAAGTATCTAAGATGTGACCACACCCTACTCTAATCAATTTCAAGTATGATAGCCATTATTTATAAGAGATAATGAACTTGCATGGAATTGAACTGAATCTCCTACATACATTCAGTCACTATGTCCTGTTAACTCCATTCTCTCAATGTGGCATATAGTACCATGGTTAAGAACAGACTACGGAACCAAACTGCCTGGACTAGAGTCCCCGCTCCATCACTGACGAGCTCTGTGACCTGGGATATGCTATATAACCTTTCTGTGCCTCAGTTTTTAAAACATCTATCTAAAATAGGATTAAGAATAGTACCTGCCTCATAGCTATTGTGAAGACTGCATTAATGAATACACCTAGAGCACTTGGCTCAGTGCTGACTGCTTCCAATCCATCCCCTTTCTTCCCGTCCACTGTTGCTCCTTAGGTCACACTCCAACTGCTCTCCCTTTCCCTAGTTTTACTCCCCTGTGGGCCAATCATCTATTTCCCTGCTCTCATGAACTCATTAACACTTTTAGCTCCCAGCCTAATCTCCAGAGTTCCCCCAAACAAGCCATATTCTAATTTCCCCTTTGCCTAGAAAGCCAGTTTCTTTTCCCCACTCCTCATCTCAGGCTTTGCCTGGCTGAGGCTCACTCATCTTACAGAACTTGGTTACATCAGTGACTTCCTCTAAGAACAGACATATGAGACCACAGTCTCCTTTGACTGGCCCTCTTCTGAGTGCTAAAGAAGGTCTCCTGGCATTTACCCTTCTACTGCACACATGAAGGGTTTATTGTTTCGTTTCCCTCTTTTTTTTTTTTTTTTTGAGACGGAGTCTTGCTCTATGCTGGAGTGCAATGGTGTGATCTTGGCTTACTGCAACTTCTGCCTCCCAGGTTCAAGTGGTTCTCCTGCCTCAGTCTCCTGAGTAGCTGTAATTACAGGCACGCACCACCATGCCCAGCTAATTTTTTGTAGTTTTAGTAGAGACGAGGTTTCACCATGTTGGCCAGAATGGTCTCAATCTCCTGGCCTCATGATCCTCTCGCCTCAGGCTTCCAAAGTGTTGGGATTACAGGCATGAGCCACCGCCCGGCCTATGTTTCCCTCTTAAACTTGAGGTTGACTCAATCTTGCTTTGTCTTCCTAACTGCTACAACCTACACATAATTGGTACTAATTACATGTTTATGATAAGGAATAAATAAAATACAAAATTCATGTCTTTCTTGAAACATTTAAGTAAAAAATTTTCACTGAGTAAAAAATGCTTTGTTAACATACAAATAAAATACATATAACAATGATAATTCAAAATATGGCATCAAAGTTTTTATGTCTACCAGATTCTGATAGCTTTGCTAAAGTTTTCACTTGGCTTTTATTCTTCCACCAAACATTTATACAGTCCTTTTCCTCAAGGAGCTAAATGTTTAGTAACATGTAAGTAATGAGAATGCAATATGGTACAGGCTATGACAAAGATGGGATGGTGTTTTCAGGAAATGCAGATAGTCCAACAAGGCTTTAGTGTTGAATGTGAAGAGTCTGGCAGGGCCAGACAGTGCAGGTGTTTGTGAGGCAGAGAATTTGCACTATTGTACTGTTAAGATAATTTTGATTTACAGGTTTTACCTGAATTTACTCCTGGGCTTCATTCAGATGCAAAAAGATTAGGAGACAGAAAATTAACAATTCAACAAGCATTTACTGAGTGTCTACTAGGTACAAGACATTGTGCACTAACATAATGGAGGAAGCTAGAGAAATGAGTGATAGGACTCCTGCCCTCAAACACATACAATTCAAACATGGAAAAAATTAATTTAAAAATACAGTCACAAAAATTTTAACCATTATCTATATTGGGCTGTAGAAGCTATAGTCTCTTCTCAGATAATTTAAAAATCAAAACCATATCAGTATTGTTATTCTAAAAAAGGACATTTCTTGAAATATTTCTCTTCTTTTAAAATTAGCATCTTGGCTGGGCGCAGTGGCTCATGCCTGTAATCCCAGCACTTTAGGAGGCTGAGGTGGGCAGATCACCTGAGGTCAGGAGTTCAAGACCACCCT